TGATTTGGGTCATTTAACCTTTCTTTCTGCTTTCAGCATCCTTATTTGTGAAATATTGTTCAGATTTGTTATTCAAATCGGCTATCACTATGCTATCTGCGTACTACACTGTGCTATGTAGATTAACTTTAAACAGTCATGGTTCTGGCATTGTCAGAATTTTCCATTTCAGAACAGATCGAATCTTACTCCCTTTCAGGAGAAATAGACTTTGATATGCATTAGGGGTTGAGGGAAAGCTCATACTTGCTTAATTTAAAAAAACGAATCTTGGGCTGTGGATAATTTAAGCATTTAGGATATTTGTAATCTTTTTTGTATAGTTCTAGCCTATTGACCAGAACTCTGAAAAACATAACTAAAAAGACTGCACAAGCCTTCACTAGAGAAAAGTGTTAAAATGTGCCTGAGGGCACTGACCATGTTTCCTCTGCCTAGTATCTGATCCCTGCTGGACCCCAATAGTATTTGTTGAATGAGTGAAAGGAGGTAAATTAGTCAGGGTTCAACCAGAACTGCAGAACTGGTAAGGAGATACGTGTGCATGTGTATGAAGGTGTTCACTTACCCGCTGGCTGAGCAAGCACAAGATCGACAGGGTAGATAGGAAGGCAAGATTGCAAGCAGGCTGGAACCACACGGCCATGAGCTGAAGCTTGGAGTCCCTGAACTTTAAGAGAGCCTCTACCTTCTTAGAAAAGGCTTCCCACTGGTTAAGTCAGGCACACCCAGGATAATCTCCCTTTTGATGAACTTGAAGTCAACTGATTAGGGACTTTAATTGCATTGGCAATATCCTTTTACAGAAGCACCTAAATTGGTGTTCGATTGTGTGATTAGAAGGAGGAGTGTGTATGCTACAGAGTGTCTGCAGCCTCAGTTCTGTCCTGCAGCTCTAGCAAGGGGAAACTCTTGTAGCTCACCCTGTCTAGAAACATTAGAACAGGAATCTGGGGGAATGTAGTTCAGCCCAGCCACACTGACACATTGTGAAGCCATCACAACAGGTAAAGCCTGGTTTAGGATCATTTGCAGGCTTATGTATTTTTGTTTGTTTATTTTGAAAGGGAGTTTTTTTTTATGTTGATTTTTTCTTATGTCATTACCTATAACAAATGATATACACAGTATAATTCACAGTGTAAAGGTGACCTTTTTGAAATTACTTGGATCATACCATTTAAACTAGCCCTTGTTGTCCACTGACTAGGAGGCCACATACAACTCAACAGCTCTGCTGTTAATTTTGAAAACAAAATAGTTCATTTTCATGTTTGGCTTTTAAGCTTCCAAGGGCCCAAGTCTTACCTTGGACTGATCTTAGAATATCTCCCACCCCCTACCCGACCATATTCCCAAACTTCATCACCATCTAAATACACTGCCAGTGTAAACCTCTTAAATGTTTGTTTTCTTCATTTGCTTATCACAAAAAAGGCATCCGTATATGTGTTTGTGTGCTTATGTACGTGTGTGTTTTGATTGCCTCATAGTAAAACCTACTCTTGAGATTTAGACATGAGATAATTTAGAGAACAGAAATCTTTCGTGGTTCCTGGTTATTGTTTGAATTTGCAAGAGGAACAACTGCTCAGAGGCCTAGCTGGGGTCTCCACCCACTTGCCAACAGCAAGACTAGTTTACATCACATTTGGAATGACCAGATTCCTCCCACTTTAGTTTCAGTATAGAAAGGGTAAAGGAGACAAACTATTAAATGCCACCTTGGGAGTGGTGCTAGCACTATACTCAGTAATTCCATCATTACTGGCTGTGTTTACCGTCGGTTTGGTCCTGGACTAGATTCAGACCTCAAGAGTTTATGGCCTTATCATCAATTGGGTATATTGCATTGGCACATTGCCACACAATTAGTGCTCAGTGATGATACTATGCTCTTTATCAAATCCCTCTTCCCCAAAATGGCATGATTTACATGTGAGAAGGTTGCAGACTTCCCCATCTCATGGTTGATGAGAGTGCAGCTGCATGAGGGGCTAGCTGTGCTCCCCTGTATTCCTAATGCCTAACCCTGACTTGAACTCAGGCGATGCTTAGCAAATAATGCTGAATGAGGGAGTCATCCCTCCTTTTCTCCCTGGATAATCTGTCCATAGGTAACAGGTGCTGCCATCAGCCATCAGGTTTTTCATCATTTGTGGCTTTGTATTTCAGGGACATGTCAAGTATTATACTCTGGCTGGAACTGATTTTTTTTCTCTCTGATAATTTCACATAAGCTTCATTTCTCTGAGGCTTCTACTTACTAGTTATTACTGCTCATTTCACCTTGCTTCAAATTGTGCTTCAATATAATTTTTAAGTGTATATTTTCAGGGCCTCTGCTTGAGTAATTGATGGTCTTCATAATAAATTTCCATTTAGTATCACTTGATTTATTTATTTAAATATTTTATTATTACTTTGAACAGCCAGTCTCATGAGAAGCTCAGAGTGGGTCATGGTGAATGTATTTTTTGACTTGCTTCCAAACACACTATTGCCTGGTGTTTTAATTATTTCAGAAAATACAGATTCCTGGAAAGGCCCACAAAGGAGAACAATCAAGATTGTAGTGGTTAAGACCATAGAGAAAAAGAAAAAAAAGAACATGAGCCTGCTTAGGAATTTCAGATGGGCTACTTCCTAGCTATGTAATCAAGGGCAAAATATTAAATCTCTAGCCCTCGTTTCCTCATCTGTAAAATGGGGATACAGGCTGAGCATCCTAACCTGAAAATACAAAATCTGAAATGTTCCAAAATCCAAAAATGTTTGAGCACCTAAATGACACCACCAGTGGAAAATTTTACACCTGACCTCATGTGATGGATCACAGTCAAAAGGCAACCACAACTTTTTTTCATGCACAAAATTACTTAAAATATTGTATAAAATTACCAGGCTATGCGTATAAGATATATATGAAACATAAGCGAGTTTTGTGTTTAGACTTGGGTTCCATCCCCCAGATATCTTGTTATGTACATGTAAATAGTCCAAAATATGAAAAAAATCTGAAGCCTGAAACAATTCCAGTCCCAGGCATATTGAATAAGGGATTCTCAACCTGTAGTAAGAATGTACACCTCATAGGGTTCCCGTGAGGATTAAATGAGATAATGTATACAGTGGCCTAGTATAATTTCTTTGCACATAGGTACGTGCTCAATAATTATTAGTTCAATAGGTATAAACTTTACAGTAATAAGACTGGGAATGTAAAAAAATGCAGTTTTCCTTATTTCCTATGGAAGTCATTTCAATCCCTGACTCTAAACTATTCCCTGTGTGGTGGTGGGATGGGGGCAGGGGAGCGGAAGAGTCTACTTTCTCCTCTGGAGTTGGTCTTACGTAGGTGGCTGTGGCAGATTTACTGGTTCTGTGCAAAGATGAGGCCTGTCGTTCCCTGTGGCAGAGTTCAGCAGTGCCAGTTGCACACTCAGTCCCTACCTGGCTCCTGCATGGGCTGATCTCTGGCTCCTTTAGCTCCTGCTGGTCCATGTTGCTTCATTTTGAGAGGCACCCTTGTGAGGACTACGGTCTCTCCTCAGCTGACCTCCTGGTCCCTGGTCAGAACCAAGGGAAACTTCTCTGTCCTTTCTCATATCACCTGGAAGCCCCAGGGAACTCGGGGAGTGCTTTGCTGTCAGCCCCTGCAAGTGTCCTGTTGCTTCTCTTCTGCCTGGTACAGGGTATTATGTAAGTCAGCCACCTCCAAGAATCCCAGACAGTCACTCATGTCCTCACCAGCATGGGGGAAGGCAAGGGTGGGGAGGGGGCTGGGCAAGCCACATTTCCATTCTCTAATCTTATTTCCTTTTGCTTCTTCAGCAGCACCTTGTTTCTCCTCTCCAACATGAAGCCCTTACTGGTGTGTGGTTTCAAAGGGATGAAAAACCGGTTTTGTTAGCACTTCCTTTGAATCTGTACTTCTCTCACTTCAAGGCAGTACAAGTCAAGAATCTGGGGTGTTTGTTTTGTTGATCCATTTCCAGGTAGAGGGAATCCCCCCTCTTGGGCTGATGACTCCAGATAGTCTGCCATAAGTTAACACTCCATAGGGCTACTGCTGTTATTATTATTATTATTATTTTATTACATGAATCTACTTAATCTAAGTAATTCTTTTACTTCCTTAAGGCAGTGGTTTCTTGGCCTTTGGATTTCACAGAAATGAAAAAATATTTTGTTTGGGGACTGACAAAAGGTTGCGAACTTTTAATTTTATCAACAACAAAAAAAATCCCTTAAAATTGCTATCTATTTCTACCATTTCTTTTAGTCTCTCCCTCCCCCAAAGTGGAAGGATAAAATTGAAGAGCAAGGAGCAATTATTTTAAACCGAGTAGCTTTAACCAGCAAATTGCCCTGAGTTTGCTCATGTAGCTGCAGTTCAGGGAAAATTCCTTCCAGACCAGCACCAGTCAGCCCAGCGACATTTGAAAATCACTGTCTTGGAGTGTTTCAGCCATTGAGTCTGGTTCATTGTCGGCTGTGATTAAATATGAAGTGCTTTCGAGAACCAATCTATAGGATAACTCAGGCCAAAGGAAACACTGTGCCTAAATACTCAGCCAAAGGAGTGTTGGGTTTGCCTGAATTTCTGGAAAATTGCCTTCGTTCCCTACTTCACTGTATCTGGGTAAATAAAACAGGGGCCTCAGAGAGCTGTTGCAGGAGAAATTATAAAAATTCAGCAAAGCCTTGTGATCTCATTTTGGATCTCCTTAGGATTCCTCATCAAGCTGCAATTACAGAGAGAAAAATTCTGCCTTGGGGTATGATTTTAATTGCTCGTCGTGTTATGACTTGACTTTCTGTGCTGTGTTTCTTTCCATATCACTGCTTCTGGGTTTGACAGCTCCTCCGGAGTCACTTCGTTTTACACCAAGAGCGAAGTACTAAGTCGAAAGGCAGGGCAAGCACCTACTCTTGCCTTCGTGCTTTTACCAGAAAACTGCGTGGGAACCGACTTTTTCCTTTCTCTACCCCTTCAGCCTCAGTTCTATGAACCCGTGGAGCCGGTGGACTTTGAAGGACTTCTGATGACACACCTGAACAGCCTGGATGTGGAGCTTGCCCAGGAGCTGGGCGACTTCACCGATGACGACTTGGACGTGGTGTTCACACCAAAGGAATTTAGGACTTTGCAGCCCTCTTTGCCAGAGGAAGGGTAAATCTTTTTCTCAAAATGTAGATGGGGTTGTGACTGTCATGCCTATTATCAATTAAGGGGGGAGATGCCCTAGATCCGAACTTCTTTTAAAAAAATGAAATTACCCAATTCATTAAAATGTGTGGGGCAACTATATGATACTCACCTAGGTGTAGATAGTTTTCAAATTGGTTTGGCCAGAGGCTTTGAAAAGCTGTGTGGAGACTAGGGGATACAGTGGGACAAGACAGAATGCTCAGGAAGTGTGAAAAATGCAGGCTGTGGAACCGGACTGCCTGGGTACCAGCTCCGTGACCTTGGGTGAGTCACATGACCCATGAAAGCCTTAGTCTCTTCATTTGTAAAAATGCCAAGAGCTTTCATAGAAACCATTCAGAAGCATTTTATCTGCTTCCATGTTAAGAGACTGGATCAAGTTAGAAGGTCAGCTCACATTTATCAAGCATCTACTATGTGCTGGGTATTGGAATGAAAAGATAAATAAGGCAAAGTCCCTTCCCTTGAAGTAAGTGTTTTCCAATGGAAAAACAGTGGGGAAAACTCTGTAGAGTGAATATGCGGACAGATACTTAGGTCTCGAGTTTCTGCAGGGGATTTGTCTATGTATTTAAAGGTTTAGGCATTAGCTCTTAGTATCAAACTAACTATGGAATTATAGCTAAATGAAACTCCTATTGCTTCCATAGTACAAAAATCAATGTCCCTTTGGAGATCTAGGATGAACTTTTATTTGCATTCATTTTGAAAGCAAAATTAAGATGCACATCCTCCTGGACAGTCTCATCTTCCCCAAAAAGTCCCAGAAAAAAGATCATGAAATACAGTCCCTGTCCTCACCACTCTGAGGTACTCTAGTTCCATTTTGGATCTTATTTCATATAGCTTAAGGAGGCTGGATGACAGAGACATGGGATTACTGTGACACTCCTTATTCAGACAGTTCTCATTCCCATAGGAGAGCTGACTATATGCACAGCTCTAATGTGAGAAAAATACTCATTTCCCAGAAAACAAAAACATTATCATCCTTGAAAAATATTTTCCCCATTGTCAGTCCATTTATTCAGGTGTGACTTTAATATAGGTAACACCTATTATTTTTACCCTCAGTAAAGTATCATTTACTTTTATTTCTTTGTGTAAAATTTATGATTCATTGTCTTCAAACACAGTCAGAATCTTGGAAAAACCTGCTTAAAATACTTACAATAAATTTAGAGGGAGGATGATTTGTTTTTAAATTTGATAAAGAAGGTTATTTTTACTCAGCATCAATTTTTGAGTATATTATTGTCTTGTCACCATAATTTATAGCTAACACATTATCTATCTGATGACTTTAAAACAACCTTTATTATTTCAATTGTTGCCAAAAAGTCTTCTGTATAATTAAAGCAAGGGATGGTATCATTGTTATCATCGGAGTAAACAATAAGTGACTCCTGTTGAACACCCTCCGCCTAGCCCAGAACTTTATGTTGAGCTTAGGTAGCATGTAATTATAAACATGACCTCTACAGGTGAGCTGCCTTGTGCAAGGATTCAAGTCCCTGTTCTACCACTTACTGTGTGGCTTGGAACAAGATGCTTATTATCCCATTCTTATGTGAAATGAGAATAATAATAGTGCCTGCCCTATGGGGCTGATTGAAAACTAACCAGATTAATACATGTAAAGTGGTCACATCAGTGCCTAATGCATAGTAAATGGTACATATGTGAACTTTCCCATATAGATCTTATTATGTGCCAGATTCTTCTAAGGACTCTGCACACTAACTTATTTACAACTCTTTAAAGGAGGCACTCTTATTATTATTATTACTTTAAGGTGACAAAAGCGAGGCAAAGAAGGGTTGACTGACTGGCTCAAGGTCACATAGCTATGAGAGATTAAGCTGAGACTTGGGCAGCAAGGGTTAGACCACATGTCGTCTAACCTTTACAATGTTTCATCTAATATTGACAGTAAGTCCACAGGTAGGTACCATTTTTGTCCCTTTTTCACAAATGAGAAAATTAAGATTTGTTTATCTTGAACACTAAGTTATCTGCAACAACAGCAAAAGGCTACTGTTATTCTTTCCGATCTCAAGACTCTGAAACACAAGCAGAGTTCTCTTTCACCGTGCACTCCTGAGTAGGTAGGACAGAACCACCAAGTTCATGACCACCGGCCAAAGCCAGTGTCTGCAAATTCATCAAAGCCTAAGACAACTGTTCTTCTTCTTGGCTTTCAAAAAGGAGAACGTGCATGTCCTGACAAGGTTACACAAGCGCAAAAAAATATGTCCAAATTACCCCTGTCAGAAAGAGGTATTTATACTTATTTTTCTTGTCATGTATCTGATTACAGCAAGTTCTACCTGTCTTGTGTCAGAGCGCCTTCAGGGTTAGTTATAGTTTAACATGATTCTCTATAATAAAGAAAACCCACAAAGCATAAAATACCAACAAGTTTATCTCATCAAAGTAAAATGCTGTTGCCTCAGGAATACTTCAGACACTTGGAATGAATGGGCAAGAACAGCCTTAGCATTCTCACTGATACGGATTTAAAGTCATGTTGTACTCCTCGGTTATGATAAGGGGTTGTTTTGTTGTCTTTACCCAGTGATAACATGTTTCTATTTCATTTTCCATCTCATTAGGGTTGAACTGGACCCTCATGTCAGGGACTGTGTTCAGACCTATATTCGGGAGTGGCTAATCGTTAACCAGAAGTAAGTTACTATTTCCCCTCTCCTCTTTATATATAAATTTTTTTTTTTAATTGGCCTTTTTGGAATGGTTTCGGGTTTACAGAAAAAATGAATGGAAAGTACTGAGAATTCTCATATACTCCCTCACTATCTCACCCCCCCCACCACATACACAGTTTCCCCTAATTATTCATATTAACATCTGGCCTTAGTGTGGTACATCTGTTATAATTGACAAGCCAATATTGATATGTTGTTAACTTAAGTCCATAGTTTACACTAGAGTTCATTTTTTGTGTTGTATATTCTGTGTCTTTTGGCACATTTATAGTGAGATGCATCTGCTTTAATAGTATCATGCAGAACTGTTCCACTGCCCCCCAAAATCCCCTGTGCTCCACCCACTCACCCCTCCCTCCTCCCACGCTGGCAACACCCATGTTTTTTACTGTCTCTGTAATTTCACTTCATTCCTCCATGTCTTTTTGTGGCTTGGTAATGCATTTTTTAGCCCTGAATAATCTTCCATTGTATGGAGTGCCACAGTTTGTTTATACATTCCCTTATAGAAGAAGAAATTTACATTTTAAGCATAAACAATAGAGCCTTTTTGTTTTAATTTCATTCTGACGAATTCCTAAGGGGGGGAAAAAATAAGTGATTTGAAACTTGGCCTCAGATTCAAAGGTGGCATTTAAATTTTTGTGACCAAGAAATAAACTGCGTGCTGGCCTTTCCAGCAAAGGACGTTTCTCTCCTTGAGTTAACCAAACCTTCTGTGACATTGTTCTGAGTTTTTTCTCTCCATGCCACTGACCTGGACAGCCCCCTCTCATGGGAAACGCCTATGCACAGGGAAATTCTCAACCCGTGTGGGTGTGAGTGTTGGGCAGTGGGAGGGGACTGTCTGCAGTTAGTGCACACCCCGCTAGAGTCACACCAGAGAACCTTTGTCACGACCTAAGTAGTTTGAGATTCTGATAGCCTCACCTCTCCTATGCTCCAGTAAGAGTTACTGCTCTATGGGAATAAAAAACGAAAGACGTTGGAGATTGGGTTTTATCCAGTTCCTGGAAGTGTTCCGTTGAATGTGTGCTGATGTTTCTGGAGTGGTGTCAGTAGGCATACTATTTTCAATAGCTGAGAAAGAGAAAGCATCGCCTGTAAAAAGTAATTAAGAGAAAGTTAGATGCTAATCTATCATCTGTTCTAATATGAATGGAAAATGAAGTTTGCCAGGCAGTCAAATGAGATTATGCTTTGCTGGTAATAAAAGATTTCAGAACAAATTGTTCTCAAGCTTTTAAATGTTATTAGAGGTACTTTCTGGATATTAAAGATCTAAAAAAAAAAAAATCTGAGAAGAGTCCATAGAAAGGCCCATTTTGATACATTTGTTAATAGTTTTCAGATTTATTTTTTATTTGGGACCTTCGCTTTTTCATTGCTCATGGCAATGCAAGCTCATTGGAATCCTCTTTTTTCTCTATCTTGCTCAAACTTAAAAGAAAAAAAGGACTCTGTTTAGAATATTCATCCTAGAACTTTTAGAAATTATAAGCAAACAAAGCAAAAACAATCACTTTCACTATGGACAGATAACCACCATTAACATTTGATGTGTAGCCTTTGAATTGTGTTTCTTTATATATGTTTGTATACAAACTAAATCAGATTATAATACTATTTTTGTAACATACATCTTTAATTTTCACAATAAGAGGTGATTATCTCTCTTTTCTGTTAAATATTCTTCCTCAACACCATCATTAATGATTATATAATATATTTATATTCAAATTTATTTAACCAATTTTAATTTTAGGTAACTCCCTGTTTTTCAGGTTTATACTTATAATGCAGTAAGTATAAAAATTACTACACATTTATGTGCAGTAAAACTCACTAAAACTTTGTGCACATTTATGATTTTCTTCTTTGGAATAAGTCCTTACAAAAGGAAATTCTGTGTCTAAGGGTATGTACAAATTTAAGGATTTAGAATAATAGACCAAAGATTATTAACAATATATTGATGAATCCTCAAGAATATTGGATGTTATGATATATTAATATTTCCAATTTTATTTGTAAAAAGACTGTCTTTTATCTTTTTTCTTTGATTATTAGACATTATTAGGCATCTTTTTTCCATATATTTTTTGGCCATTTATAATTTTTTCCTGAGGCTCTGCTTATTTATGAAATTTGTGCATCTCTGTGAATATATTTGTCTGGTCTTGGTTATCTTTAAGAGCACTTTTGTTTGTTAAAGATATTAACCCTTTCTCTGTCACATATTATAAATTCCTTATCCAGCATGCTTTCTGTCCTTTAATATTATTATAATTTTTAACATTCATAATTATTTATGCAGTTAAATCTATATTGATATATTTTTCCTAATGACTTCTACTTTTGGTGTCATGCTTAAAATTTAATTCACGAACCTATTATTATCTTCTAGGAGTTTAGGATTAAAATATTAACTCAGACCACTAGCCACTTGATTGTTGCTTCTGTTCTCTTATTTGTCTGCATTTTTAAATCTTTTCTGTAGAAGCAATGATTATCCACATATTTATTCTATGCAAGTTTTTGCATTTCTCCCCATAAAACAAAACAATATCTGCTTTAACTTTACCTGTGGCAACATACTAGGGATGGGGATTGCCATTGGCCCAGTTCTCTGCACACCTGTATAACACACCAGTTCGCCTTCCCAGAAATCAGCTAGTGGACAGGTAGAAGTGTGCAACTTCAAAACTCATTGTCAGTTTCTTGCAAGCTTTGATGAGTGTTTTATTGAAGGAGTGTCATTTATTACCTCTCTGTCTGATTCTCTGGTAGTCTGCACCTGATACTCTGTGAAAACTACAATTCCTAGCACTCTCCTCCCAGCGATTATTCTGTCTCTATGTGTATCTATAATATTCTATTTGTGGGGAGAATCCAGTACACTATTGCCAGATGCTCTTCATCTCTCAGTACTGCATAATACATTTTCAGCACAGTCGTTTGCTATGAGTTGTTTCTGTATGGTTACAGAAGAATGGCAGGAGAAGGACTAGGAGAAGGTGGTGGTTCAAATGAGTGAGATCAGGTGCATCCTGTGAGTGCCTTCATAGATAAGCCACTGCAATGAAGAAGAATTCAGATTTCTGTGTGGTCACTAATTGTTCAAGGACTGGCAGGAAGGAAGGTATACACACCTTCCCATCTTTATCCAGTGAGCCCCCTTTGGGGAGACCAAGTATGATATACATCCTTCTCTCTCCAGCTCCATCTGATCCACAGAGATTCTGTCCAGATTCAGGCATTAAGTAACATTAAGCTTGGATGAGTTTCCATTTTTTCTGTGTCTTCATAGGTGGTTTGCTAGGAAGTTGGAGGAGGATGCAATAGGGGTTGCTGACCAGTTGTTAATTAGTGATTCATTATTTAGCTGTCCTTTAATTTTTATTTTACGTGCCAAATCATGTGTGCCTGTTTTGAAAGAAGTCAAGTAACACAGAAGTGCATTAAGTAAAAGGCAAGTCTCATGCCTCACTCCCCGCCAGCTCCCTGCCCTTCCCTTCAACTCACCCTTCACTGCACAAAGGTCAGCGTGCAGCCTTCCAGATCTCTTCATGCCCTCACAAATATATATGGCTATATATGTTTTTTACATAAAGATACTTATATTTATGTATGTAGATACATATATGTAAACATGTATGTATTTATACATTATAAATATATATAAATAATGTTTTTTCAATAACATCTTTGAACTTTCCATGTCAGAGTTATATCCCATTCTTTTGGAATCCTGCCTCATATTCCAAGGGAGTACATATGAGAGAATGTACTACACATTATTGAATCTTTCTCTATTAATGGGCATTTTAGTTATCTCCATTTTCCACAGTTACAAATAATACCTCTGGAAATATCTATGCACATTTGCCCTTACACATGTGTGTGAATATTTCTGAAGGTCGAAATGAAACCAGTGCACATGGTACATTCTGATAAGTACTGCCAAATTCTTCTTTAGAAAAGTTATGCTAATTTGTTCCATTACCAAGCAGGCAAGAAGTTACACTTTCCCTTCATAATATTCCTGCCAGTGCTGGACATTATGAATTAAAATAAAATATTTAAATTCCTCCAATCTTATTCTAGTTATCATGTTAATCTGGAAGCTATTATGCCTACTTTCTGAATACAGTTTCCTATCACTGAGTTTCCTTCAGTTGGGTATTCTAAAATCCCAGTTAAATATACACTTATCCACACAATCTGAAATCCTGTTTGAAGGTATTTGCCTGAGTGAAATGAAAACGTGTATTCACATAAGAATTTGTATGCAAATATGTATAGTAGTTTTATTTATAATTGCCGAAAATTGCAAACAACCCATATTATACTCAATTGGGTAATAATAATCAATAATAATCAATAAGCAAACTCTGGCAAATCCAAACAATGGAACACTACTCAGCAATAAAATGCAACAAACTACTGATACATGCAACAGCATGCATGAATCTCAGATGCATTATGCTAAGCAAAAGGAACCAAACAAAAAAGATAACTGCATGATTCCATTTATATGACATTCCAGAAGAGGCAAAGCTATGGAGACAGAAAAAAGGTCACCAAGGTCTTGGAGTGGGGAATGGGGCTGACTGCAAAAGGACCTGGAAGAATTTGGGGGCGGTGCTGGAACTGTTCTGTATCTTGAATATAGTGGTGGTTATACAACTGTATGCATTTGTCAAAATTCACAGAACTGTACTCTAAAAAGGATCAATTATAATTGTACTTCAAAAGCGATGGATAGAAATCTGGGAAGTTGCTATGGTTTATTATACTATTTTGTAGAATGGTGGTTTCTCTGGAGCAGGAGTAAATGGATTCAAATCCTGCCTCCACTACTTACTAGCTGTGTGACCGAAGGCCAATTAACATATTTCTTTGTGCTTCAATTTTCTCATCAGGAAAATAAGATTTAGAATAGTACTTACCTCATAAGCTTTGTCATGTACAATAAATTAATTAAAATATGTCAACTACTCAGAAGATTTCTTGGCATTTAGTAATAATTCAATAAATACTAGCTATTATTTATGGTATGTACTAAGTAGTAAATATCAGAAGAAGCACTTACATTAGCATGTCGAAGGAATGTACAAAAAACTCTATCCCATACGTTTTAATGCACTGCGAGTGGAAGGACCTGCCTTCCTTAATGAAGCCACTTTGCCCTCCATGGACATGTCTTTGTCATCCAGAATCATGCAGTCAAACACTGATTTAGTTAGCTCTTTTATTCTCAATTATCTCCTTGCTGATATTACATTTCTCTATAAATATCTGGAGATAGGCTTTTATGCCCTTGCTATCTGTGATAATGGCTTTGAATTCCACTTAGGGCACAGAGGAGTGGAGTAATGGCCACTTGTGTTCCCTCCCACTCTCATCATTCTATAGGGCATTTGCCACTCACATTCTGTAATTGAGACATTTAAATCATACAAATAGTGCTGCCCGTGAACGACAGAGGAAAGTTCTAAAACTTCTTTTTAACCTGATGGGGAGAGATTAAACTACACAGAAACATAAAACACATTATCTCCTTTCGGGGGAGATGTATTTTCTTACTTGAAATGTTTGTCTGTGTTACTTAGACTGGAAGATTTCTTGAATGAATTCCATTCTGTCTTTCATGTCTATAGCCCCAAGTTTGGTGTCCTTGCTCTAAAAGTAATAGTACTTTTCTCTCCATGACTTTCGAAGATGACTATTGGTTTAATGACTAGCGTGCTGCCATCTTGGCTTGTTTATCTCATCTTATTTCCATGTATTTTATGTGGATTAATGTCTGATGACATCCTTTGGGGGATATTAAATATTCTAAGTATATTTCCTCTGTTATTTTCTCTAAGTGAAACAAAGACGGACTAACTTCAGAACGTTTTTGCTGTCTTGGCAGAGAGCCGAACTCTTAAGTGATTAAACTTGTTTACATACTGTTTATTCTCGTTGTATTATTCGCAGCGACAGTGAAACATTTCATGAGTGTTATGGGCAGCATCATAAAAGCCTTTAGACTTTGTCTCTCATTCAGAGTGATTAAGGTAATTCTGAAGGAAGGTCGTGCTCAAGGAGAGCTGGGATATCAAGGAATGGGGTATCATCTGTTTTATTACTCCATATTTTACTCCCAGTGAACTGGTAAACAATTAAAATTCAAACACATCAGTGCATATAATTCAGTTACTCCCCAAAACATCATAAAAATGTCTCCCTGATCAATAATTGCTGATTATGACATGCATTTGTTGTGCTGGCTGTCAAGGTGCTTCGCTGTTTGCTTTCTAAAGTGTGAAAAGCAAGCCAGGCTCATCAGCCTATGCAGGAACAAAGAGCAGCCCGGCTGCAGATATCACTGAGCCAGTCTCAACCCGTGTGCACGGACTCCTTCCCCACTGACCCAGACACACTAAGGCTCTGCCCAGGCTCTGTTCACACGTGCCAGGCTGCCCCAGGCTGGGACGACCTCCTCATACCGTGTGGGTTCTGACTCCCCATGCCAGGACCATCCTTTTTAAATGAAGGTCCTCCTCAGCCTGTTTGGGCTCCAGCGTCTCATTCTGGGCCTCGCTGCTAGGTGCCCCCCCCCCCCCCCCCCCCGCCGTGAGGCACAGCATGGATGGCTGCCTTGTTCTGGGGCACCTCAGGATGCTAGCACCAGGTTGTACAGGAACGAGGGGAAGGAAAGGGGAGACGGGGTAAGAAAGTGAAGATAAAGAAAAGAGGAAAAGAAATGAACATATATTATTTCTAATCCTCACTGTGGGCCCTCAAAATGAGCAACATTTTGCCCCCTTTCACCCTTGAGGAAGCTGTGGCTCGGAGAGATTAAGTCACTTGCCCAAGGGCTCTTAGCTAGGACGTAAGGAGCCAGCATCTGAACCCAGGTCCTTCTGGCTCTACAGCCCCGATTCTGTCTGCTCCACCACACTGCCTTGAAAGAGAATGCTCCCAGAATATGTTTGGCCTTTGGATTGTCTTCAAGTGTGTAAGAATAGTGTTTGAAGAAAAGGAATACAGTTCTGGGAAGCAACAGTGTTCATTTCATGAAGGTGGCTTTTCTAGCAGTTGGCCTGCTTCCCCGTCCTCCTCCTGTCTGCACATAGGCTCAGCAGGAGCTCGGCTGCCTTTGACTCAGTCGCCAGGGCCTGGTAATGAGGCTGGGACTCTACTCTCTTGTAGCCAGTGGCACTGAGCCAGCAGTCGCGCTACCTACCAGTGGTAGCTCTCTCTGCGGCCAGCACTTCTGGAATGAGTCATTTCTCCATGCTTGCCAACCCTCGTCTTCTCCACAGCCAGCCTCACCCTCACTGCTGTGAGGGAGCTTTGCAACTTTCTGAGAATTTAAAACGGGGAAGTAGATGCTAAATCTAGTATGAGGAAGGGGAGAGAAGCTTGCTCTGCTTTCAAACACACGGTCACGGAAGATGCTAGTCTTAATGCTTTCCCTAGCAAAAACCCTGAAGGCCGGCATATCTATCAGGTTAAAGTGTATATATTGTGAAATAAACTTTTAATATTATCCCATTACTAACTTGTTTAATGCCCATTTGTCACTGGCTGTGGGGTGCAAACATTCTAAAAATGGAAGGCAGAAAAGATAGCAAGCATGCATTTGCAAAAGATAGCCAAGGAAACCAAATAAATTTCAGGTCCCTAAAAGTTAAGCGTCTTTTAAGTTTTTCAGATCTAGTGTATAAACTTTTTACCATGAATCTTAAAGCTGGGGATAACTTCTTGGCATTCACTTCATGTCCGTGCCTGACCCTGTGAAGAAACAGAGGTGTAGAGAGAGAAGTAACTTGAGGATGATGGAAGCAGGTGTGATGTGTGTGTGTGTGTGTCTATGTGCGTGTGTGTCTCTGTGTGTGTGAGATGTTCACTTGTAAGTAAACACTATTGGAAATAGGTACAGTTTACTGTCAGACAAAAAATAAAGCTAAAGCAGATATAGTTCTGGTCACTAAGGCTGCCACTCTAAAGGTCTTAAGCTAGGTTACTTCCTAATTTTTATTTCTGTGGCCTAAGAAGGTTTCCTTGTTAACAGCCACGTGATATTGAACCTTTGACATTAATACCTTTTGCAGGTCCTAAAACAGGCAAAGGGTAAATACCAAAATGTGAAATTTGAATTTTTACTCACTGATTTGATCTTAGAATGAATGCATGTTAGGTGATTTCTTTGGTAATATTTCCCCTTACGATTGGAATTATCAGGAAAAATAAACACAGATTCAGTGTGTTGTTATTTGGGGTAGTATAATTTAGGCCACAACCTCCTATTTGCCTATGTGTGACACTACTTTGATTTGGTTTCCCTCTCCTCCCCCAGTGTCAGATCACAATCACACACAGCATTTTTTTTCTTTAAGCCCTTAGAGAGAGTCCAGAATCAGACATTTTATAGAATGCCTTTAGGAAAGCCTGCCCACACAGCACACATATACACATTGCTGCCTAAATGTACATGAGTGAGGATAACTTTTAAGAAATTAGCAGGCTTGGGTTCCGGGTCGTAGCGCGCTCGGGGCAACAGGGCTGCTGCTGGGCGGGCCGGCAGCGGCGAGCAGCAGGGGCATGAGGGTGAACCCGGGAAGCGGAAGCTGAGCAGGCCTGGAGGAACGCCGGTCCCCTGGATCCCAAGAGTGCAGAGCTCGGGGCAGGGGCCGGGAGGCGTGGGGGAGCCGGGCCCTCCCCTCAGGAACGTGTCCCGGGGCCGACCCGGCCCGTAGTGTGGAAGCAGCTTCAGTTTACACACCTGCAAGATTCTGGAGCCTATGGGGCATGCTGGTAGCCCCTTTCCTGTTCATCTGTGTGCTCATACCTGCTTTCAGCTAATTCTGTGCTTGGAACATTCTCTTCCCACAGTCTGCAGCCCTGAATGCTTATGGAATTTGAAGTATTTCACAGTAACCTTCACATGGTAGGTGAGCTCGTGAAACAATATGAAGAGGAGAAAATAGCCTTTTAAGGAAATTGGCCCACAGAAAGGATGGCCTTCTTGGACAATCCAACTATCATTCTAGCTCATATTCGACAGTCACATGTGACCAGTGATGACACGGGAATGTGTGAGATGGTTCTCATTGATCATGATGTTGACCTAGAGAAGATTCATCCTCCTTCAATGCCTGGAGACAGTGGGTCAGAAATTCAGGGAAGCAATGGTGAGACTCAGGGCTATATATATGCCCAGTCAGTCGATATTACCTCAAGTTGGGACTTTGGTATTAGAAGACGCTCAAACACAGCTCAAAGATTAGAGTGACTCTGAAAAGAGAGACAAAACCAGATCAAATGCAAAAATATTCAGTGGAAAGAAAGAAATTCTAAGCAATCAGCCCAGGAGTTAAAGTCACTGTTTGAAAAAAAGTCCCTCAAAGAGAAGCCTCCAAGTTCTGGAAAGCAGTCAATATTATCTGTACGTCTGGAGCAGTGCCCTCTGCAGTTGAATAACCTCTTTAATGAGTATTCCAAATTTGATGGCAAGGGTCATGTCGGTACAACAGCAACCAAGAAGATCGATGTCTACCTCCCCCTGCACTCAAGCCAGGACAGACTGCTGCCAATGACCTTGGTGACAATGGCCAGTGCCAGGGTGCAAGACCTGATTGGGCTCATCTGTTGGCAGTATACAAGTGAAGGATGGGAGCCGAAACTCAAACTTTGGAGATGATGTTAGACAAAAGGCAAATCTGAGCAATTATCTATTCAAAAGGGGTTGTAATGCAGTGGAGACAACTCCCAAATCAACAATGCATTTGGCCAAGGAATGGCTAATGAACAATGCAGTATTAGTTCAAGAAGTTTTGCAAGGGAGAGGTGAGCCGAGAACCAACTGAGAGCAATCATCAAGCTAATTCTCTTACAACTACGTGAGAAGTTGCCTAAGAACTCAACCATTCTACAATTGTTCATTATTTGAAGCATATTGGAAAGGTGAAAAACCTCTATAAGGGAGTGCCTCATGAGCTGACTGAAAATTTAAAAAATTGTCATTTTGAAGTGTCTTCTCTTATTGTACACAAGAACAAGGGATCATTTCTCGATCAGATTGTGACATTTCACAAAAAGTAGATTTTGTACGACAACCGGCGACGACCAGCTCAGTGGTTGGACAGAGAAGAAGCTCCAAAGCACGTCCCAAAGCCAAACTTGCACCTAAAAAAAGGTCATGGTCACTATTTGGTGGTCTGCTGCCAGTCTGATCTACTACAACTTTCTGGATTCCGGTGAAACCATTACATCTGAGAAGGATGCTCAGCTAACCGATGAGATACACCGAAAACTGCAACACCTGCAGCCAGCATTGGTAAACAGAAAGGGCCCAATTCTTCTCCACGACAATGCCTGACTGCCTGTTGCACAACCAACACTCCAAAAGTTGAACGAATTGGGCTATGGAGTTTTGCCACATCTACCATATTCACCTGACCTCTCGCCAACCAACTACCACTTCTTCAAGCATCTCGACAACTTTTTGTGGGCAAAACACTTCCACAACCAGCAAGATGCAGAAAATGCTTTCCAAGAGTTTGTTGAATCCTGAAGCATGGCTTCTTTTGCTACAGGAATAAGCAAACATTTCTTGCTGGCAAAAATGCGTTGATTGTAATGGCTCCTATTTTGATTAATAAAGATGTGTTTGAGCTTAGTTATAAAAAAAAAAAAAAGAAAGAAAGAAATTAGCAGGCTTATAAAATCCCAGGTAAGGATTTCTTTCAAAGAACTCTGTTAATAGAAAATAAATCTTACAAAATAATTTTGCTAATATATATTGCTACTTGTTTTTACTGCTACCATTGCAACACTTAGAGCAACTGGAACCAAAATAATGTTCGTAAATAGTTTAAATAGTTATTACTTCTGAGGACTTGTTTAAAAGAGTCTCCAAAATACTTTTGGTTCATTGATGTTTATGAACCATATAGTTTATATTTTAATTTTTGTTTTGCTGGTGTTTAGGAACCCAAACAGAAAATTATTCTGGATATTTTTCTCAAAATCCTTTTTAAATATTTAGTCTCATTTCCTTATTCAGAGTATACTTTTTTCATTTACTTATTTTTTTCATTTCCCCAATTTGGCCTGCTTTTTGGCCAGGCCTGCCAATACAGGTTTGGGTCAGGGCAATTCAGATGGCCAGGAGACACTGTGGATGGCCAGTGACAGTCTACTTCTACTTGAATTAGTCACTGAGCTGATCGTGTTTCTTTTCTAGGTGGTTTCTTGTCTCCTTTTGCTCAAAACAAATTGCTTATCTTCAGAGCATGGTAAAATCCGGGGAGAGAGTCTTGTTCTCCCCTATGGTTGACCCTGGGACATCTCATTCTTTCTTTAATTAATTTTAATTTAAGCAATTACCAAACACCTGCTCTGTGGGTGCCACTCCCTCCCTCTGACACCCCTTCCTTCCAAGGAGTTATATACCCTGTATTGATTGGATCATTGCTAGTCGCTCTCCTACATTTCCTGCTTTATCTGTCTGGCATTCGATCTGCCCAATACATACTGCCCTCACTTTATATCCCTTTACCCGCTTGCCCAGTGGTTTTTCTAACAGTCCGGGAAATCAAACAAAATGGTGCATGTTTGTGCATTTGACCCTGCAACATGTTTTCCAAGAAGCCTTTGAGTCATAAAAATGGGGAATAAACACACTGGTTTCTCTACTCATCGCTTGAATATCTGTTGCCTTTCTCATGCCGGTCTCACTTCTGCAGTGACAGTGCTAGACGTTCTATTTTAAACCCTTTCCATAGCTACACATTTTTTAAACACAATTTTAATGGAGTCCGTAGAGTGGAGATTTCTAATGTTAGCAAAGACTTTCAGTAGATAAATCATTTATTTCTATTTTTTCTTAAGCATGTCTTGCCTTTGTCATTCATTATAAAGAACATTAATGTGGAGATTAAATGGTTTTCTCTATTTTTATCTTCAAACGATCTCTATTTGCTGCTTCTGCACATTGCTAGATTTATTCCAGCCTCTTGCATACACTAGGGTCATAGTTTAGCTTCAGCTTGGAGCCAAATGCCCCACAGCTGAAATGACCGCACCTCTGAAGTGGCATTTTCCCAGGCCATTCCTGCCTTTAATAAGGAGCCAGCCAGGAGGCAAGTTTGTATCTCATTACAACAGAGCCTTGTATTAGGCCTGGTGCTTAATTAGATGTGAGGAATTACAATTGGTCCTCTCTTTGAAAGCTCTCTCAACACCATGTCTGCACTTAAGCCATTACTTTTATTTTAATCTAATGGTTTTGCCTCTCTCTCTCTCTTTCTGTCTTCCAATTAAATAATATCAACAATAAAAGAAACCAAGGAAGTTCGGAGATTTGCAGCTTTAAAAAGACTGGATCTCGAAAAGATTTTCACAAGACGCTGCAGAAACAGACTTTTGAGTCAGAAACCTTGGAGTGCAATGAACCCACCGCTCAGGTATTTCCCATCAACCAACATGGTTACTGGGTTACTGCGCTGTTCTGCCCAGGGCATGCTGTCGGCTTGTAAAACCAGAATAAAGGTTAGACTCACAGAATGTTTGAATAAGAGAAACTCTACCATCTGAGTCACTGTTATTTTTTTTCCAAATCTGTTTGTAGGTACAGAAATTGGTGTTCAAACAAAAACCAAGAAGTTCAGTGATTAAAATAGATAAAAGTGGAAGGGCTCTAACTGGGGGAGGGGGACACCTGGGGCCCATCCCTAGAACAGTTCCTGCAGAGACTCAGGATTAATTGGGGCCAATTAATATATATATATTATATATATTAGCCGGGCATGTGTGTGCATGCTGTACGTCCAGCTACTCGGGAGGCTGAGGCAGAAGGATTGCTGAGCCCAGGAGTTTGAGGTTGCTGTGAGCTAGGCTGACGCAGGCACTCACTCTAGCCTGGCCAACAAGCGAGACTCTGTCTCAAAAAAAAAAAAAAAAAAGTCGGGTTGAAGTATATGTATTGTGAAATGAACTTTTAACTTGTAACTAATTTTTTTAATGCCCATTTGGCAATAGCTTTGGGATTCATGTAAAGAACTCCAGAAAATACTCTAACAAACTAGGAGACACAAAAGAAAACAAGCATTCATTTGCATAAAATAGCAAAAAAGAACAACAGCCAAATAAATTTCATGTCCCAAAAGTTAAGCTCTCTACACCCATATTCGCAGCAGCATTATTTACAATAGCCAAAAGGTGGAAGAACCCAAGCGTCCATCCGTGAAAAATGGATAAACAAATGTGGTTGTCAGGGGATGGGGAGGGAGAGGCAGGAATGGGGAGTTGTTGTTTTAATGGTATAGAGTTTCAGCTTTGCAGGAGAAAAAAAATATGGAGTGTGCAGTGGTGATGGTTGTCCTACAATGTGAATGTACTTAACACTCTGAACTGTACACTTAAAATTATAAGGCGGTAAATTTATGTTATGTATGTTTGCTACAGTAAGTTTTTAAAGCCAGTGCTCTAGTCCAATCTGCCCATTTTATAGATGAGAAAAAACCAAGAAGAAAAAATTTGTGCAAGTTTGCACGGAACGTCTTGTAAAGTTTTCGACATTCATGTGTCCTCATAACATATGCATCTCATCCCATGCTCAATATAATTAGGCTTTAAAATAATATTATTTTTCAAACAATATGGTCCCTAAAGCCAAGCCAACTACTTAATATGATCTCC